GAAAAAAAAATCATTACCTACGTTTTCGTCTTTCTTCCTCTTGCTCTAAGATCTATCAATCCGTGTCTGAAGACGTCCCCGTTTGGGTGTGTTCGTTTTCCCAGTCGAATGACACCCGAGCTCTCTCACCCACGCGCGTATCACACTAACAAGCAAGCACATTCTTAATAGCTAAGTTTTTAATATATGTTCCTTTTTCTTCCAAATCTGTATGCATTACTGTATTTCTTTTTCTTAATACGTGCATTCCCTGTTTTGTATCTTATTTCTGCACAAATTTACACATGCCAAACTAATAAGTTTTTGTGAGACAAATATACCAGCAGCCAATAAATATTTACTGAATGTTATAAAGGAATAAAGTGTCACTGCCGACACTGGAGTTTGAACACAGGTCACTAGAGAGCAATCACAGCGGATCCAATTTACAATAAATAAATCACGTAATTGTAAAGTAAATGTATATATAGGAATTAGCGTGGCGTCTAATAGATCACCATTTCTATTTTACCCTTTATTACTATACTGACCACTATTTCTACACTATCCTCTATTACTGTACGGGTTGCTATTCTCTATACTCTTGCTATATTATTTCTTTATACTGATCATTATACGAATTACTATTCGGATCACAATTCGGTGGTTACGTTCGTTCTAGTATTATCGAGTAAATACTATTAGTGCGAGTGTTATTAAAAGGCGTGTGACGTCAGTATTGTTTAACAGCTTTACTATAGTTGTATCTGCGATTATAAATTCTCTACTACAACGAGCATTACGAAAGTGACAACGAGTATTCGTTGACATTACAAAAGTGGTAACGAGTGTTCGTTGACATCACAAAACTTAAAAACGTCCAGCCTTCGCAAAATAAGTGTTTATTCTCGCAACGAGACCTTGCTGTCAATCTAGTACTACACTTTAATTCAAAAGGTGGAAAATCCATCAGAGCAATTACCATGAAATTATTTATAGAACAGGCACACGGAATCTAGAGTACGGTTTGGAAAGTGTCTGAATACAAGATACCAGGTCAGGACCTCTTCTATTGCAGATATCTTTGGATCATATCAAGAATCTATAAAAAGGTAGCAGAAGCTGCAGACGACATGTGGCAGCAATATTCAAAACAAGGACCAATGACAGACGTATTAATATGCAAGATATATTCTGACGAGAAAAATTGTCTTCGGCAGCAAGGCATCTAATCTGGAGATTAAAGGTTTCAAGTAGCGTGGAACCATCTCTCAATTGCTGTTGTCTCCAGATCAACACTGACCCTGGGTAGTAGTAGCTGTTAGGGTCGCAACAAACAATGAACTTACAAACAAAAATCGAAAACTAGGAAATTATAAAATGTACATTTTTATAGTAAAATTAGCAGCATGTCCCGGCGTTGCCCGTGCTTGATTTAAAAATCGTACGACTCTTACAGCAATCGCTATCACTTGACTTAAAATATTTTTGCCCTTCCTTGCCTTTAAAGAAGTGCCCTTTGCCGTGCTGATGTTGCTACATGCCTTACTTCTTGCCTATCTCACACTGCGAATTTTTTCTAAGCTCTATAGTAAACATTCAATCTGTTACGAAAAAAAGAACTAAACAAAATGAACACAAAACGATCAGCTTTAAAAAAGGATTCGTAACTGGAAAAACCGAATGAAAAAGGAATGTTAACAAATACTTTTTCACACCCAACCCAGTTCTGCGGAATTAGAATCAACGTTGAATTTAAGCAAGCGATTAAGCCAATTGGAGTAAAGTGCCATGCAGATTTAAATTTTTCCCACTTGTGACGAATGCAGCTATCGATTTTTTTGCATGCTAGCTTGCTAGTTAACATTCGAGTCAATCAGCTGTTGGCTCTCATGTTGGCCAATAGAATCTTCCTGCCTATTCGTGGCAGCCAGCTATAGGCTCTCACTCTGTCCAGTACAAAATGGCTGCAAACTACATGAAAAGAAGCATGAAAATAATCGATTATTTCCACTATCGATGAGAGTTGGGAAATGCAACGTCAGTCTTAGCCTTTCCGCTAACTTGGAGCATGTGCATCTAAATTTTGATGCAAATCCGTCGAACATTGCGGCCGTGCATTCGTTACACACACACACACACATACGCATCCTGCTTTTTATAGATAGAGATTACCAACAATAATTTTTACAGAAAAATCACCATCAATACATTTTTATCACCTACAAACTATATATCTAAAAAATTACGTTTACTCTGACAGTATAAAATTGTGTACAAATTATATGTAGCCGAAAGCATAAAATTACGTCCAAAATATTTAAATTTTGGCAGTAAATAAACCTAATGCTGCTAAACCTATTCAACCAAACAGTAACCCAAAATTATCTCGCACGACACAGTGAACCATCTTTCCTAGAAGCTGACCTAGTAGTTAATTCAATATAATATAATCTTTCCACTTCATGCCAGCGTTCATGTTAAGGCAACATAAATCAGAATTTCTGTTATGGATACAATACAACATGCTACATAATGTTTTCCCGCTCATTACATCACTCCTACATTCCCTCCATAGATTTTTTTCCACCAGTCACGTTTTCTAGATCAATAAAAAAAAGTAGAATCGAAATTCTCGTGAACTGTTCCGAGTGGACAAGATGCTCAGCAATCTATTGTCGTTATTGCGTAACAGAATTTGGATTAAAACGGAAGTTTGAATCACGTCTGATCTGGGTCCTGGGCGTCCAGTTTTAATTTCTTTAATTTCCTTTTACGTGGCTAACTTGCTGAAGAACGGGTAAAAATTGTTGAGCTTCAAGATTGGTAAACAACTTGGTCACATTAGATCACATTTGACGATTTTTTTTCTCCTTTTATATCTTCTCTTTCTATCTCTTACGAGCAGTTTCTATTTCCCAGCCGATCTCTCGCCATCCATCGCTTCTGCATCGTCTTCTTATTCTTCAACTGTTAGTTTTAAATTCCGCATCTCTTTCCAAGAATTATTTATATTTTCTAGACTGTTATTTAAATTATGTTACGATTAGCATTTTAATTTGAAGTTGTTTCTTCTTCATCATGATTAGCATCTTCTTCTTCTTCTTCTTCTTTTCTTCTTCTTTTCTTCTTCTTCTTCTTCTTCTCTTTCATGTTCTTATTTTTAGTTTACGTCTTCTTGTTTTTCTTTTTCTTCTCCTGTTTTTGGTTCTTTTTCGCTTACGTCTTCTTTTCCCTTTTCTTCTTCTTGCCTGTTTCATGTTTTCGCTTACATTTTCTACTTCTTCTTCTTCTTCTTCTTCTTCTTCTTCTTCATCTGTTTCCTGTCATATTTCTCGGTTACTTCTTTTAATTCTCCTTCTGTTTCATGTTCCTCTTTTTTGCTTATGCCTTTCTTTTATTTCTTTCTAATGTATGTACTTTTTCGCAAATGTCTTCTTTTTCTTCTCCTTTTCTTCTTCTTCATGTTATTATTTTTCTCTTACAACTTCATTTTCTTCTTCTTCTTCTGTTTTTTGTTCTTTTTCGCTTACGTCTTCTTTTTCTTCTCCTTCTGTCTCATGTTCTTTTTGGCTTACGTCTTTTTCTTATTTTTTTCTTCTCCTTTTCTTCTTCAGCTTCTTCTTGTTTCATTCTCTAGCTACTTCATTTATTTCTCTTACGTTCCTCTTTCATGTCCGTTGTTGCTCTCCCTTGCCATCTTCACCTCATCTTTTTCGTTTTTCTATGAATATTTCGTTCTTCTCTTTCTACTCTCTTTCTGCCCTCCCCCTCTTTTCACCAGCTTCTTCTTCCAAGTTCTTCCGACTCCTCCCATACTTCACCTATATCTTCTCTCCTCTATCATTTTAGATTTTATCCTTCTTTACACACCGCATTTGATTTTTCTCCCTCTTTCACTTCCTGCTTTTTCTCCTCCTCTCTACATCTCCCTTCTTTTACAACATGTCAGCCGAATATGTTGGTTCCCCTCAGCTTTTTTCAAATAATCAAGGAAAGTGAGATGAAATTACAAGTAATCAAGTGCAAGAAAACAAAATGCATAATCCGTATCAAGAGAACAACTCTATGAATTATGGAAAGAGTTTTAACAGACGACAAAAAATGTGACAGAGAGATGGGACGGCACATGGCCCTATTAAAGTACTTTCCTTTGTACGTTAGACATTTACACCAAACTACTTTCCACCATTCGAAACATTGAAATCGCCATTAGTTGTCTCGTTCGGTTTCCAGACCGATTTTCTTCTTCTATGTACCGCAGCACTTCTAGACGTGGGCGATCACAACAACTCATAAAGTCCTGTCTTTCACGGCTCCAGTAAAGCTGTATCCGCTTTCTATCTCTACTAATCCTTGTTCTGCCATGAATTTTCACGAAATTGTTAGGTAAATTGCTAGATATATATTCCTTTTTTATTCAATATATACTGTGAGTGTCAAATTTGCCAAGAACTTTGTCCTCATTTTGTGATCCTTAAATTTCACTGGTTACATTCTAGTCCTAAATAGAAGTGTCACTTTTCTTATTTTTTCGAAACACCAGCTCGTGGCTCGTTGCTTTATGCCCCGCCCATGGTATTATTAAACTAAAACAGTTACTGTTGATTGAAGGCACCTCTTCACTTGTCCATCACACATTGCTATATCGGATGATTGATATTGTGTAGCAATGCAACACTTTTATTTGTTCCTGTGGAAAGTTCATGTCTCTTAATACTTAATTTATACTTTGTAAGATATCATGCTTCATTTAAATATTTCATCGGATTGATGTTGCCTTCTTAATTTCTTTATTCTTTCATTTTGATCTCTCCAAATGTGTGTACTGTTTCATCGCAAACCTCTGCAAATTTCTGAATTGAAAGGCTTGCCTTCACCAAAATACTGTATTAATAATTCTGTCTTCTCCAACTATCAGTATGATTTCATTCTGACACCTCCAAAATAACGTATTGATGATTCTGTCTTCTCCAAATATCGGTATGATTTCATTCTGACCCCTCCAAAATATTGTATTGATGATTCTATCTTCTCCAAATATCAGTCTGACCTCTCCAAAATACTGTATTGATGATTCTGTCTTCTTCAACTATCGGTATGATTTCATTCTGACCCCTCCAAAATATTGTATTGATGATTCTGTCTTCTCCAACTATCGGTATGATTTCATTCTGACCTCTCCAAAATACTGTATTGATGTTTCTGTCTTCTTCAACTATCGGTATGATTTCATTCTGACCTCTCCAAAATACTGTATTGATGATTCTGTCTTCTTCAACTATAGGTATGATTTCATTCTGACCTCTCCAAAATACTGTATTGATGTTTCTGTCTTCTTCAACTATCGGTATGATTTCATTCTGACCTCTCCAAAATATTGTATTGATGTTTCTGTCTTCTTCAACTATCAGTATGATTTCATTCTGACCCCTCCAAAATATTGTATTGATGATTCTATCTTCTCCAACTATCGGTATGATTTCATTCTGACCTCTCCAAAATACTGTATTGATGTTTCTGTCTTCTTCAACTATCGGTATGATTTCATTCTGACCTCTCCAAAATATTGTATTGATGTTTCTGTCTTCTTCAACTATCAGTATGATTTCATTCTGACCCCTCCAAAATATTGTATTGATGATTCTGTCTTCTCCAACTATCGGTATGATTTCATTCTGACCTCTCCAAAATACTGTATTGATGTTTCTGTCTTCTTCAACTATCAGTATGATTTCATTCTGACCCCTCCAAAATATTGTATTGATGATTCTGTCTTCTCCAAATATCGGTATGATTTCATTCTGACCTCTCCAAAATACTGTATTGATGTTTCTGTCTTCTTCAACTATCGGTATGATTTCATTCTGACCCCTCCAAAATATTGTATTGATGATTCTATCTTCTCCAAATATCGGTATGATTTCATTCTGACCTCTCCAAAATACTGTATTGATGTTTCTGTCTTCTTCAACTATCGGTATGATTTCATTCTGACCTCTCCAAAATACTGTATTGATGATTCTGTCTTCTTCAACTATAGGTATGATTTCATTCTGACCTCTCCAAAATACTGTATTGATGTTTCTGTCTTCTTCAACTATCGGTATGATTTCATTCTGACCTCTCAAAATATTGTATTGATGATTCTGTCTTCTCCAAATATCGGTATGATTTCATTCTGACCTCTCCAAAATACTGTATTGATGATTCTGTCTTCTCCAACTATCGGTATGATTTCATTCTGACCCCTCCAAAATATTGTATTGATGATTCTGTCTTCTCCAAATATCGGTATGATTTCATTCTGACCTCTCCAAAATACTGTATTGATGTTTCTGTCTTCTTCAACTATCGGTATGATTTCATTCTGACCTCTCCAAAATATTGTATTGATGATTCTGTCTTCTCCAAATATCGGTATGATTTCATTCTGACCTCTCCAAAATACTGTATTGATGTTTCTGTCTTCTTCAACTATCGGTATGATTTCATTTCTGACCCCTCCAAAATATTGTATTGATGATTCTATCTTCTCCAAATATCGGTATGATTTCATTCTGACCTCTCAAAATACTGTATTGATGTTTCTGTCTTCTTCAAAACGGTATGATTTCATTCTGACCTCTCAATACTGTATTGATGTTTCTGTCTTCTTCAACTATATGATTTCATTCTGACCTCTCCAAAATATTGTATTGATGATTCTGTCTTCTCCAAATATCGGTATGATTTCATTCTGACCTCTCCAAAATATTGTATTGATGATTCTGTCTTCTCCAAATGTCGGTATGATTTCATTCTGACCTCTCCAAAATACTGTATTGATGATTCTGTCTTCTTCAACTATCGGTATGATTTCATTCTGACCTCTCCAAAATACTGTATTGATGTTTCTGTCTTCTTCAACTATAGGTATGATTTCATTCTGACCTCTCCAAAATACTGTATTGATGATTCTGTCTTCTCCAAATATCGGTATGATTTCATTCTGACCTCTCCAAAATACTGTATTGATGATTCTGTCTTCTTCAACTATCGGTATGATTTCATTCTGACCTCTCCAAAATACTGTATTGATGTTTCTGTCTTCTTCAACTATCGGTATGATTTCATTCTGACCTCTCCAAAATATTGTATTGATGATTCTGTCTTCTCCAAATATCGGTATGATTTCATTCTGACCTCTCCAAAATACTGTATTGATGATTCTGTCTTCTTCAACTATCGGTATGATTTCATTCTGCCCCCTCCAAAATATTGTATTGATGATTCTGTCTTCTCCAAATATCGGTATGATTTCATTCTGACCCCTCCAAAATATTGTATTGATGATTCTGTCTTCTCCAAATATCGGTATGATTTCATTCTGACCTCTCCAAAATACTGTATTGATGATTCTGTCTTCTTCAACTATCGGTATGATTTCATTCTGCCCCTCCCAAAATATTGTATTGATGATTCTGTCTTCTCCAAATATCGGTATGATTTCATTCTGACCTCTCCAAAATATTGTATTGATGATTCTGTCTTCTCCAAATATCGGTATGATTTCATTCTGACCTCTCCAAAATACTGTATTGATGATTCTGTCTTCTTCAACTATCGGTATGATTTCATTCTGCCCCCTCCAAAATATTGTATTGATGATTCTGTCTTCTCCAAATATCGGTATGATTTCATTCTGACCCTCAAAATATTGTATTGATGATTCTGTCTTCTCCAAATATCGGTATGATTTCATTCTGACCTCTCCAAAATACTGTATTGATGATTCTGTCTTCTTCAACTATCGGTATGATTTCATTCTGCCCCCCTCCAAAATATTGTATTGATGATTCTGTCTTCTCCAAATATCGGTATGATTTCATTCTGACCCCTCCAAAATATTGTATTGATGATTCTGTCTTCTCCAAATATCGGTATGATTTCATTCTGACCTCTCCAAAATACTGTATTGATGATTCTGTCTTCTTCAACTATCGGTATGATTTCATTCTGCCCCCTCCAAAATATTGTATTGATGATTCTGTCTTCTCCAAATATCGGTATGATTTCATTCTGCCCCCTCCAAAATATTGTATTGATGATTCTGTCTTCTCCAACTATCGGTATGATTTCATTCTCTGCCCTCCAAAATATTGTATTGATGATTCTATGTCATTTCTCCAACTATCGGTGATGATTTCATTCTGACCTCTCCAAAATACTGTATTGATGTTTCTGTCTTCTTCAACTATCGGTATGATTTCATTCTGCCCCCTCCAAAATATTGTATTGATGATTCTGTCTTCTCCAAATATCGGTATGATTTCATTCTGACCTCTCCAAAATACTGTATTGATGTTTCTGTCTTCTTCAACTATCGGTATGATTTCATTCTGACCCCTCCAAAATATTGTATTGATGATTCTATCTTCTCCAAATATCGGTATGATTTCATTCTGACCTCTCCAAAATACTGTATTGATGTTTCTGTCTTCTTCAACTATCGGTATGATTTCATTCTGACCTCTCCAAAATACTGTATTGATGATTCTGTCTTCTTCAACTATAGGTATGATTTCATTCTGACCTCTCCAAAATACTGTATTGATGTTTCTGTCTTCTTCAACTATCGGTATGATTTCATTCTGACCTCTCCAAAATATTGTATTGATGATTCTGTCTTCTCCAAATATCGGTATGATTTCATTCTGACCTCTCCAAAATACTGTATTGATGATTCTGTCTTCTCCAACTATCGGTATGATTTCATTCTGACCCCTCCAAAATATTGTATTGATGATTCTGTCTTCTCCAACTATCGGTATGATTTCATTCTGACCTCTCCAAAATACTGTATTGATGTTTCTGTCTTCTTCAACTATCGGTATGATTTCATTCTGACCCCTCCAAAATATTGTATTGATGATTCTGTCTTCTCCAAATATCGGTATGATTTCATTCTGACCTCTCCAAAATACTGTATTGATGTTTCTGTCTTCTTCAACTATCGGTATGATTTCATTCTGACCTCCAAAATATTGTATTTGATGATTCTATCTTCTCCAAATATCGGTATGATTTCATTCTGACCTCTCCAAAATACTGTATTGATGTTTCTGTCTTCTTCAACTATCGGTATGATTTCATTCTGACCTCTCCAAAATATTGTATTGATGATTCTGTCTTCTCCAAATATCGGTATGATTTCATTCTGACCTCTCCAAAATACTGTATTGATGATTCTGTCTTCTCCAACTATCGGTATGATTTCATTCTGACCCCTCCAAAATATTGTATTGATGATTCTGTCTTCTCCAACTATCGGTATGATTTCATTCTGATCTCTCCAAAATACTGTATTGATGTTTCTGTCTTCTTCAACTATCGGTATGATTTCATTCTGACCTCTCCAAAATATTGTATTGATGTTTCTGTCTTCTTCAACTATCGGTATGATTTCATTCTGACCTCTCCAAAATACTGTATTGATGTTTCTGTCTTCTTCAACTATAGGTATGATTTCATTCTGACCTCTCCAAAATACTGTATTGATGTTTCTGTCTTCTTCAACTATCGGTATGATTTCATTCTGACCTCTCCAAAATATTGTATTGATGATTCTGTCTTCTCCAAATGTCGGTATGATTTCATTCTGACCTCTCCAAAATACTGTATTGATGATTCTGTCTTCTTCAACTATCGGTATGATTTCATTCTGACCCCTCCAAAATATTGTATTGATGATTCTGTCTTCTTCAACTATCGGTATGATTTCATTCTGACCTCTCCAAAATACTGTATTGATGATTCTGTCTTCTCCAAATATCAGTCTGACTTCATTCTCCAAAATACTGTTTTGATGTTTTTGTTGAACCGAAATAGGTTTTTAGATAATGAACATATATTATGGTCATGTTAACTACAATTGTAATATAGCCGCTTTCATCTTCAGTCTGATCTTTCTTTAAAAAATCTGATGTTGATTATTATTAGACATCACTGAAATTCCGGAAGAGTTATTTATATCCAAAGTAAGCAAAATCCTCAACAACATGTAAATCCGATTCTCGTAAAAATTCCATGTACAAATTGCTATCCAAATTCCAGGCGACTTTTGAACAACGGAATTCCTATTTTGTACTTTTTGTTAGGCAATATATTTTACTGAATTTCCCTGTATCCTGTCTTTAGTTGTGCGAAATAAAAAAAAACCGCCATAGATATATATAATGTCTTTCTATTTTAATCAAAAAAGACACGCTATGGGTCAGCCGAAATAATGTAAGAACCACATCACAAAAAAACTTTAAGAAATGTGATAATTTGTCTGAAAACCATTTTGAATAATAATTGACAGCCGGTAAATTATAGATATTTAAATTTCATCCTAGATATTTCATATAGATATTACAAATTTAAATTCATATAAAATATAAAGATATATATATATATATATATATATATATATATATATATATTTTATATATAAATTTAGATCGATAATTAACTATATAATTTGAAATTCAAAATGAAAAAAAAAGAACTCATTTTTTTATTTTTCGAATTAACTATATTACAAAGATAAGAAACTATGTCCTTGTATTTGGAAATAACAATATGTTGGAAATTTTATTTATAAACTATAACTGTCTACCAGTCTATTCGCCTCGAGCAACGGACGATTGGATAATAAAAGATTTATCAAAACCCCAAAAGATACGAATTCATAGCGTAAACGAAATAATGAATCGGCATCGAATAACGGAGAAATATAAGGAACATTGAATGTCCAATGCCGAGACTCTATTTGGCGTCTGAGCGTCATTTGATGTCTGTAATGAAATCAGTACCATTATATTTATTAATCACCAGCAGGATCGATTCATTCAGATTTTGCATAAATATCAAAACGTAATTTCTTTCTATTCAATGCAGAAATAATAGATTCTCTAGCCCCGCAAAGACCATGCATAAGTAAATATTTTATTTCTCATTCAGTAGGAAGGTCACAAGTATCAAAAAGTTGAGGTGTAATATTGTTGTTAACATACTTGCAAACTAGTTACAAGAATGGACAGAGACAAGGTAGATATTGATTATTTACGAAATACTTATCATTTATAATGCGATGAGGTCTTGACGAATTTTTCATCTTCGTTTAATTTTCTTTAAGCACAATAAGAACTACGCGCTAGATGAAAATATTCCAGCAGCAATTTTATAATGAACTTGTAAATCTAATGGTGGGATCGATTTTAACTTTTTACTTGAGTAATCTAATGAAGATCCGTGAAATTACTACTACTACTACTACTACTACTGCTGATAATAATAATAATAATAATAATAATAATAATAATAATAATAATAATTGTTATTAGAGACCACAAACAAAAAATTGCATCCTTATTGATAGGGCAGTCCCTGCAGACTGAAATGAATCTTTGAAGATCTTCAAAAAACTATCAATCTTTTTTTTAAGCATTACGCCCCGAGCAAAGCAGGAAGCCACTAGGATGCAAGGCGTTGCAGAAGATTTGGATTGAGAGAAGATATGAGTGATAGAAGAAAAGATGAGGAGAAGGATAGTGGATAGATCAAGGTAACTGGAGATGTCGATTGACATTACATTTGAATAGTTGGAGATTATAGCTCTCAGGGAAACAGTCATTCGAAAGGGTGTTTCACAGGCGAGAGGTGCGAGATATGAAGCTATTGGAGTAGAAGAGACGGGTATAATTTAAAAGTTTATACAGTGAAAGGGTGAGAGCGCGATACCAGCCTCGTAGGGTGCTTCAATTCATGAAGTCTGGGAAAAAATTAAAATCCCAAAACTATGGCACATGGGAACATCAACAAAGCCCTCGGATTGGTTGGAAAAAATTCCAGTAGACTAATTGAAGGGATTTCTAGAAGTCCATGCTTTAAAGAAATACAAAAATTTGTTTTCAACTGTACAGCCCACACCTTACGAAGAGCTTTATCTCTATAAAATATGTTGGTTTTGTTTTGTTTCTTTTTTGTTTTTTTTTATTTGGTCAGTGGAAAATGTCATTATGTCATTTCTAACCTTAGGTTTCTGGGCGGGACCCGGAAGGAAATGTGTACATACCAGAAATCAAAGGAAATATAATAATAAATCAAACATAGTAATTAATGACTATAAGTAAAATGTCTTGTTATAAATATGTCACTGCTGTTGAATAAAACATATATCTGTAAAGTAAATGGCAAAATAAGTAAAAATCAGGATCTTGAAATTGAATGTTTAAAATAAATGAGTGTCCTTAGAGCTACACTTCTACCTGTGATATATTTAAATCTGTTGCTTACAAGAGATATAGAAAATCCCAGGAAATGATTATTAATGTAAAGAAAATATAAACAACGTAGATGTTATCTATTAATATCAGTATTATAGCAAACAAAATGCATATCTTTACTATCTTAACTTAAACTACGTTTCGTGAAATGGTTTGGTACTCTGCTAAACAAAAATGATGATGATGATGATTATGACAGTAGTAGTAGGAGGAGGTGGATGAGAAGGAGGAGAAGGAAGAGGAGAAAATTGTTACCCAAAGAATGAATCAATTAGCATTCTTTCTTCTTTCTATGTGCCGTGTCATTTCAGAATGTAGACGACCATAGCTCTCCACCTCCCTCTATCCCTTGCAAGTTCTTCCCCCCGTGCCACTTTCTCAAGTCCACGTTCTGTCA